GGGAGATTTTGGTCTTTGTTATTTTAAGCCAAATTTGGAAATATTTGTTGCCCCTGTTACCTATCAGTTATTTAGCATTTGATTCTGTACCACTTTGTTCTCACAAAGTGCCAAATGAAAACCTTGTGTGAAAATCTCAATTGCTTTAGACCCAATAGGTGTCCATTAGTATAACTAACTGGCTTTGTATTTTTCTTAAAATAAATGCAGTTTTAATTTTTGTAGAAAACTGCAAAAGAACTGAGTTTGAAAACATGGCTGAAGAGTGGGCAAAACTTCATTCTGCTCCAGATCTTGATTCTACCAGTGTATCACTTACCCTCTCCAGCTTTAGGCATTTTTTATCGTTCCCTAATTAAATGAGATATCTTCTGTTCACATCTGAATGAAAGGTTGGGATTCTGATTGGGTTGGGAGTCAAACCTTGGAACTCTCTAATACTCTACTAACCCTTCTAATGGAACAGGATAATAGGATATTGCATTGTGATGAAATCAAGCTAATCTTGGAGAATATGGAAGAAGGAAAGAGAAAACAAGTCTTTGTCATGCTGATGTATTGCAAATTATATTTTGATCTGTATTGTATCTCTGTTTTAAAATATAATTACAGAGCTCCTAACAGTGACTATAGCAACTCTAGTCTGCAGTCAGTGAAGGATGACATCTTCATTAACATATTTGATGAAGTACTGCATGATATCTTAGAGGTGAGCAAATCATCTGAAAAATTCTGTTGACATTGTCTGTTGAGAAAACAAACTGAAAAGAGCTGAATGATGAGATTACATTTACTCACCTAATGGAGCACCAGGCAGAGAATATTCAGATATGAAAAGCAAAGTGTGCCCTCTAGGATTTGCTGTTCAGAACAGATTAGACTGGATATTCTGAAGGTCGGTAGTTTGAACATTCAAGCACTTTCTGTGAGGGGAAGGGGAAGAGAAGAATTTTTAAAAAGGAAGCACTTTTAGAGGTTCACTCTTAGTAGTGCTGATAACTATGGATGCATCATTGGAAACATACTGGAACTATTTTCATCAGTAAACACAGGAATCCTTGCTCTGATTTTATGTATTGAATAGGATAGGACAGGACAGAATAGAATAGCTTTATTTGGCCAAGTGCGATTAGACACACAAGGAATTTGTCTCTGGTACAGAAACTCTCATCTTTGATGTTATTTTATAAATAACTCATATTGGGAAACATAACTAATTGTCCTTCCTCCTCCTATTTCCACCATAACAATAACCCTGTAAAGTGGGTTAGGCTGAGAGAGGGTGGCTGGCCCAAAGTCTTCCAGCCAACTTCCTTGCCTAAGGAAGAACTATAACTCACTGCCTTCTGGTGCCTTATCTACTAGATCACCTTGTAGTCAAGAGTGACTGGCATCAGGATGTCTTCACTAAATACAGTATGTAATATCCAAAAATAGAATAAAGTGCTCAGAGCCATCAACAGAAGTGGTAAAGGAATGAAGGAAAATTGTAGGTTTCTCTTATTTACTGCCTTGGGTCTTTACTGAAGACATTTGTGGCTTTCAGAATTTCTTAAGCACCTTCAAAGGACACCATTGAACTTGTTCCACACCCCTTGAAGAAATCCTGCCAATTTCTGCATGGACAGGCTTTTATTCTATTGCCAAGGATTAATTTAATTTATTCAGATGCAAAAGACCTAATGAAGTGGCTTTTATTTTGATTGGTTTACTGATTACTTTTTATATCAATCCCATATTTCACTTCCAAATAAGTTTAAGAAAGAATAAAGTAAAATGTGGAAACCTCCGATGAAAAAAGACTATCAATATTCTTTTGTATCACACCTGGCCCAGCTTGGGCTCCTAAGAAAGAAAGACCCTCAACTCCGTTTGTGTGAAAGGTATACTTTTACTAAAAGCCAAGTGCTTTTTTTTTTTTTAACAGCAAAGCCAGAACTAAAAGTTTGTATGCATAGGTTCCCTAGTTAACTTTCCTGTTCCTCCCCCATTATCTCTGTATTCCAAAGAATTGTTTAGATAACCTTCCCTGCATCATTGGGCTACATTGTGAGCCGTTGCTTTCCCCTCCCAGGTCTCTGTCCTTGGATGACAAGCCAATGTCTCAGAAAAGCACGACGAGTAGTTTCAGTTCCCCCTTCCCAACAGCTCCCTTCCCCCATAGTGTCAAGGTTCCAAGTAAATATGTCCCCCGAATAAAAATCCAAGGCATCCTTTGTTCATCAAAGTCTATTTATTAGGAACATATCAAATTGGCAAGGTCTTGGTGTAATTCCGATTCTGACCAAACCCTGGAATTACACCCAGTAAAAGCAAAAGTTTGAAACTTCCCTCCAGAGTCACATTCTCCAATCAGCACACAGTCCATCAGTCCGATGACTCCAAGCTCCACCTTCCACCAGCTGCAGGCACCTTCTCAGTTCCTATGGGAAGGAATGCCAGCTAGTCATAACATTTCCCCTTTATCTCTACAACCTCCCTTCCTGCTGCTAGAATGTGGCGAGCCTCAAGCTCCATTGGAATCCTTTGCAGAAACTCTAAAGAAAGTTAAGAAAAAGAATAGGCAAAGACTACAGTTAAATATGGCTACACATATGTCAGCTTCAGGATTGACAGGCTGCCCACCTTCAAGCGAAAAGAATATCCTGCAGATAACCATAATAGATTAGTTAAAGCTCTAACCTCCTCTGCCACCGCCAGGAGCCCCCTTTGACTTATGAGGATACTTCTCATGAACTCTCATTATTAACTTGTCAGCATTTACTTTCCAACTCTTTACGCAAGTTGCCTCTCTTTAGGTAGACAAAATGTCCTCCCTGCTTAGAGTCATGGCTTCTCCGCAGGACTTGGATTCGCAGGGAGCTGGGGACATATAGCTTTGATCCTTTCCAAGCCATTCCATCTTTCTGGGTTAGAGTGTCTTTGTTGGTTTGGTACCAAGGATCTGCTGTTAGCTCATCTTTCAGTCTTTTGATCCTCTCCTCTTTGCCCCTAGGGCTCTGCAGCTTAAACTGTGCACGGGTGATGTGATAAGGGTTGTGATAAGGGTTGGGAAGGAGGAATTACTGCATGAATTAACTCCTCCCATTTGCTGTTAAATTGAGGCTTTCTTGACAAAGAGTCAGCGAGCAGGTTCCTCCCCCCCCCCCCCCCCCGGGATATACTTAAGCTCGAAGTTAAATCATTTGAAGTACTGTGCCCAATGAACTTGTTTTGTGGAGAGTTTTCTGGGGGGTTTTAGCGCCTCTAAATTTTTATGATCAGTCTAAACCTCAAAGGGCTGCTGACTGTCTTCCAAAAATTGCCTCCATGTGAGCAGTACCCAGCACGTAAGCCTCCTTCTCCTACACTGCCCACCTTCTCTCAGTGTCAGTGAGTTTTTTAGAAGCGTAAGTGCACAGCTGCAGGTTTTCCCTGGCATTCCTTTGAAGGAGGATGGCAGCCACAACCATGTCACTTGCATCTGCTTGTACCACAAAAGGTTGTTCTGGATCCGGATGCCTTAGTATCGGTTCCTCTGTGAAATGTTCCTTTGAAGGCTTGTTGGCATTCAAGGGGTTTAGCAGGTCTTCCTCCTGTCTTAAGTAATTCAGTGATGGGCAAGGCAATTTCTGCAAACGAAGGAATGAATTGGTGATAAATTTTGGAGGACCCCCAAAAAAATTGTTAGTTGCTTTCAAGTGTGTAGGGATTGCCAGTCTAAGATCTCTTTTACTTTCCCTGGGTCTATCTCTATTCCTTGGTTTGATAATGTGGTAGCCGAGGTAATCCAAAGCACTTTTATGAAACTCGCATTTTGAAAGTTTCACATATAACTTGCTAATTTGCACCAGTTTCACATGTTCCTCTAGGGCCGTGATGGCGAACCTATGGCATGTCAGAGGTTGCACACAGAGCCATCGCCCAAGCTCAGTTCTGCCACACATGCGCGCATGTGCCTCCTGCTGGCCAGCTGGTCTTCAGGTCTCTGCTGCGCATGTGTGTGGGGGTGGGGTGCATGCCTGGGGATGGGTACATGCACAGGGAACACATGTACATGCGCGGGGGTGAAGCACATGCATGGGGACTTGCATGTATGCCCAGGGTGGGAGGTAAGTGGGGAGCAGGGTGCATGTGGGGGGAAGCATGCGTGTTAAATTTTGGGGGTGCACACATGCAGGTGTGCTTTGGGCACTTGGTGCCGAAAAGGTTAGCCATCACTGCTCTAGGGTTTTGTTGTAGGTGAGAATGTCATCTAAGTAAACAAGAACTTTCTTATATAGGTACTCATGCAGGACCTCATTTATCAATTGTATGAAGACCGCAGGGGCTATCCAAATAGCATCACTCTGAATTGGAAATTGCCTAGAGGACAGTTAAAAGCGGTTTTCCACTCTTCTCCTTCTTTTATTGGGACCCAGTAGTATGCCTCCCAGAGATCAAGCTTATTGAACACATTCCCTTTGGCTAGGTAGCCCAGCATATCTTTTATGAGGGTAGGGGTAGGTGTTGTGCACGCACCCAGCATTAATTCCTTTAAAGTCAATGTACAGCCTCATCCCCCAGTTCTTTTCCTTGAACAGTACGGGGGCGGCTATTCTGGATATTGCTGGCTGTATAACACCTATAGCCAAGTTAATGTCATTGTATTCCCTCAGTTCTCTCATTTCTTTGGGTATCATGCATCTTAGGTATTGGTAGCTTAGCCCCTTCCATAAATTCAATTGCACAGTCTGTGGGTCGGGGAGGTGGGGTAGAACATTGCATTCCTCCTCACTAAGCACTTCAGCCAGGTCCCTATAGTTCTTGGGGATCAGAGGAGTGTCAGGGGGCTATTCCAATAGTGCTTCTGTTGCTTCATTTCAGTCAGCAGAGGCTTGCTGCGGGAGGACCAATTCATCTGATAGACTTGGAGGTAGTTTGGAGCCTAGCGCTAGCTTGAGTTTCCTATAACCACCTTTCCAAGTAATGGAAGGGCACCACTTGTCTAACCAGGTGACGCTGGCTTAGTCATTTTCAGCACTTACTATAAGATAGAGAAGAATTCTTTATTGACCAAGCGTGATTGGACAAACAAGGAATTTGTCCTGGTGCAAATGCTCTCATTGTACATAAAAGAAAAGATACATTTGTCAAGAATCATCAGGTTCAACACTTAATAATAGTCATAGGGTACAATAAGCAACTAAATCATACTATGAAACCGTCAATATAAATCGTAAGGATACAAGCGACAAAGTTACAGTCATACAGTTACAAGTGGGAGAGGATGGGCAATAAGGAGTGATGAGAAGATTAATAGTAATAGTAATGCAGACTTTGTAAATAGTTGGACAGGGTTGAGGGAATTAACATTGGGTTAATGCCCTCAAGTGGTGCAATTTAAAAATTAATTTAAAAGGAGTTTCCGGTTTGTCGGCTTCGCGAGCGGTAGGGATTCGCGAAGCTGCGCGATCCCTGCCGCGCTAGCCGTTTTGGGGCTCCGACCCGGACGGGTGCGGAGCAAGGCTGCCCTGCAGGGGTAGCTGAAGGTAAGGGGGATCCGGAGGAAGGGTCTGGGGGTGTTGCAGACCCCCTCCCTGGCCGGCAGAACCCCCTTTTACCAGGACGGTGCAGCGGCGGTGCGTAATGGCCGCCACAAAGAAGTCGGCAGCCGGGCAAGTATGCGCAGGAGGAAGAAGAGAAAGTTATTGAAAGTGAAAGTTCTTCTTGGTCGACCCAGGGCTTTGAGATTTATCTAATTTAATTCCTGGAAAAGATGGTTTTTTGATGATTTTTTCCACAAGAGAAAAAAAGCGGCTATTTTGAGGTGCTGAAAAGAAAGTTTACTCTCCCTCCCGACGGAATTAAGCCGGAAGGGAGAGGATAAAGAAAATATATAAATTTGGATCTTGTTGGAGGAGATGCCTTGAAGATTTGAGGACAGAAATATAATTTTAATAAGGCTTTAAAATATAGATTTGGACTCTTTTTTTTATTTGTTTGATACCACCCCTGGAAGAGGAAGGGGGAATTTTGGCTTGCTTGGATTTATTGAGGATTGTGGATTTTGGGATTGTTTTACCTTTCTCTCGGAATATTTGGTTGGTGTAAGAAGAAAGAGGAATAAAGAAAAGAAAAGATTTATTTATAATGGCTTTCCCTTTTGAAGACCTGAGGGATGAATATGAGCAAACAAAAGCAGCCTGCAAAGATGGTATGGAAAAAGCTTTTCTATTTCTAGAAATGGCGCTGGTCAATTACCAACAGACAATGGAACAGATGGAAACAGAAGTTGTTCCAGAAGAACAACAACAAGGAAAAGACGAAGACGCCATCTTTATTGAATCCCAAAACTTATCTAAGGAAGAAGGAAGGAAGAGAGCAAGGAAAATGAAGGACTTAAGATCTAAAAAAACATTTGAGAAAGAGAAAAATATGATGCAAAGTAAATATAATGATAGCAAACAAGAGAAAAAGGGAACACAACAGAGAAGGGATCCCAGCAAGGCAGAGGTTAGAACAGGGGTGGGCAAACTTTTTGGCTCGGGGGCCTCATTGACTTTTAAAATTTGACAGACGGGCCGCCACCTGGTGTCGAAATGCCTGTCATTACAAGTCAAAATCAAATGAATGCAATCATTCAATCATTCACATCAAACCTTAATTCTGTACCAATCTTCGGCGGGCCGGATTAAAAAGACCAACGGGCCGGATGTGGCCCACGGGCCGTAGTTTGCCCACCCCTGGGTTAGAAGAAGAAGGGGGGGTAGGAAGATTTGGTGGGGGAAGAAAGAAAGGGGAAAGGCGGAGAAAAGCCTCAAAGTTTTAAAATTGGATGGGAGAAGAGGAATTTTTTTTAGGGACAAAGGATGAAATATAAACTTCTGTAAGAAAGATTCTGCTAGGTACAGAAGATGGTATTGTAACATTTATATTTGAAATAGTAAATTAGAATGGTTTAAGATTTAATAAGAAATTAAAATGTTGAAGTTTTTAATAATGATTGATTTTTAAAATGTAATAAAATATTGAAGGAAAGGAGGATACAATGTATTTAAACATTTTTGGTGGATAGAATGTACCAAGCAGAACCGAATTGGGTATTTGTTATGTTGAATGTTAATTTTACTAACTTAGGGGGAGGATAGAAAGGCATCATACTCTGATTAGTGATTTCAGGAGAAATTCTTTTTATTATAAGAAGAGATAGAGGGATAATGAATGGGCAAAAGATATAAATTTAATGATTTAATTAAGATGGATTAAATAAGATAGAATTGTGAAGAGTGATATGCGCTGCCCATGCAAAGAGAGGTAACTGGGGCCAAGGTACTTTACTAAAAGATTTTTTTATGTTTGTTTGTGTTTGTTTTGTGTTTTATGAGAATATTGGGGAAATTTTTGTAGAAAGACAGGAGAAGATTTAAATATGTAATGATTTGTTTGTTGTTGAAATTTTTAATAAAACTTGTTTTAAAAAAAAATTAATTTAAAAGTAGAAAAAGTACTGAAAGAGTAAAAATAGTAAAAAAAAAAAAAAAAAAAGAGAGAGGGAGAGAGAGCAAAGCTTAAAGCTGCTACTCACAATTGCTATCTTGGAGTTTTTTTATATTTATAAACTAGATTGGGTTACCTTTGAATGCCACTCTGCTACTACGGGTGTTATTCCTATTATTATTTGTTGGTTTTAATTGTATTTTTGTTACCCAGAGTGTCAACTGTGAGATGGACAGCTTTGTAACTTGGCAAATTAAATAAATACATTAATTCTAGAGAATCTAGGAAAGAGAAATAGGGAAGCTCAACATGTTCTTTTTGCAAATGTTGATCAGGATTTTTGGGACATTTTCTTAGGATGATCGTGAAAGAGAAACCGGTGGGGTCCATACGTGTATGGAAAAGCGCTGGCTTGGATTGATTCGGATACCATTTACAACAGTATATTTTCAAGGAAGAGTAAGTGCTAAAGAAAGCATTTTTACAGACAAACATGCATATAAATAGCATTAATGCTTAACAACTCCTGGTGGTGCTGAAGTTAAAGTGCAGTATTGCAGGCTAACTCTTCCGGCAGCCTGGAATTCAATCCATTCTTCCAAGGTCAGTAAAATGGGGACCCAGATTATTGGGCACAATATGCTGACACAGGGTGCTTTATGAGGCAGGATGCAAGTCTTAAGTGCAATTATTGCTATTGTTATTTTTACCCAGGACTCTTTGTTTCTCTTTGTCTAGATTGATGGCACATTTAAGATTGAAGCTCCTCCCATTCTTCTTGGCTATAGCAAAGGGGAAAATGTGGGAATTGACAGAAAATACGATTCCATACAGCATCTGAGTGATGGTTCCTACCTTTCCTTGTTCATTACAATTGAACCTCAACTTATTCCTGGAGAATCAGTTCAAGAAAGGGTAAACCAGGACAAGTTTTATTTCTGGGTATAATTTGGACATTTAGGAAGGGGTTTGCCTCCATTTTCATAAAATCCACAAATAGCAAATAAATGGGACTCCAATTGAACAGGTATGCACTTTTCTTAGTGTGCAATTTATCCTGGCATGCCCATTTTTCTTTCGGAGGAAGGGTTGCACAATATGCCTCTACAATTATTGTAAGATTTTACCATTCAAAAGGAGCCATTATATTCCTGCAGCCTGAAAGGTCTTCCAAGTGAAGGTAGTCCCACAAAATTGCTCCAAAAAGTGCTCCCTACAAAACTCAATACTATCAAAACCAACTAATGTAAGTTTATTGGAGCCATTTTGATAGTTCAAATAGTATCAAAAATGCCATTTTACAAATAGAAACAGACATCGTTTCGATGCCAGAGTATGGTTTCTTCTTAACTTCTGACTAACCCACCTGTATTTACAGATCATTTAAAATCATCATACCTTTAAAAAGTGCTAGATAAAATGGAGTTGCTATGCTGGTTATAGAAAATCTATGCACATTAAGCTTTAATAGTGCTACAACTGCCCTTAAATAACAAATCTAGAATTTAGATCTCCAAACAAGCCTATGTAAAGTCACACCCCAATATTTATCATTTGCTTCCAAAAGGATCCCTTCTGACCATGAATTTATCATCCAGTCCAATTTTAAAATTTGGTAAGACCTTCACATTAATCAGGTTGGATACTATGCCTCAGCAGTCTTTCTTGGATGTTTTAATTTCAATGTATTTCAAGGTATTCCAATGCATCTTTGGTTATTTCCAAGTGGTTATGGTCCAATAGAAATTCTGTTCTCTATATAAGAACTCTAAGCTGACCCTTATATGTCCCATCATGAAGAAATTTCCAGGTAGAGCAGCAGTCCCCAACCTTTCCAACTTGACAGATCAGCATGGGCATGTATATATGAGTGACAGGTGCATGTGTGCATGCACAACTCTATTGGTACGGGCACACACGTCCTCCACTCAGGTGAATGGACATATGCACATGAGCAGGTGGCGCTTGTTTTTGCACACAAAGCTCCACTTGCATAAGCGGAGGGCGCTTGATTGGATGGTGCTTCTGCATGAAGTTCCATTTGTGCAAATGGAACGTCACATGCGAGCGGCCTTTGGTCCTCTATTCAAGCTCCCTCCACTCGCATGAATGGAGCTTCAAGCGTGAGCACAAGCACCCCCAACTCCTGTGCAAAGCTCCATTTGTGCAAGTGAAGGGCACATGCACCCACCACTTGCATCAATGGAGCTGTGCGCATGTGCATGCTCCTGCCACGCACACTTCCCCACACTAGGCTGGGCCGCCAAGGTGGAAAGATTGGGGACCGCTGCTCTACCTGGAAATTTCTTCATGACAGAACATATAAGGGTCTGCCTAGAGTCCTTCTATAGAGAACGGTATATGGCCTAGAATTTCTATTGGAAATAACTGAAGATGCAACTATAGATGCTGAACCATAAAATGAGAAGATGGGAATAAAGTTGGGGATTTGGGAGTGTGAAGCGATGTTTTCATAAGTTCAAGGTGCAGTGAAAGGGCAAGGCCTGTTTGGGATGGGCATTGAATATACTTCTCCAGAGAACAAAGTTTTTTGCTTCTAGTCATTTCTTCATAAATTTTGAATTGCATATCTATCTCTATATACCTGTCTCTGTTTCTATATCATTCCCATTTGGAAGCAAAATAGAATTCTGACTATTAACTTTAATCCTTTTCCTTAACCCATCCTTTTAATCAGAACTTGCTTCATGAAAATTCATGTCCAGGTCCAATTATTGTTTATGGACTTCTCTCAATGGTTTGATTTCAGAAATTTCAGCATTTTGAAAGGGTTTAGTTGAAACAAAGATTATATAACTCTTCCTTGAGAGTGAGTTCAGTCATCTAGTTTCAGTAGAGATGGGCAGATTTTCCTTTCCATGATGACGTCTTGCTAGAAAGCTCACTTCTTTTCCTAATAATCACAGTTCCTTCCTACTTTTGGAAAAACGATAATTAAATAATCAAACATTTCCCTTACTATTTTAACAGCTTAGTTTTTATATTCTTTCACATGATTCTTGCCCATTGCATTGCATTGCATTGATATCTCCCCCCTCACCCCGCCTTTTCTTGCTGGTCTTCCTGAATCTGTGTAGATGCATGAAATGTTGAAGAAGGTAAATGATGTTTAAATGTAATTTAAAAAATAAATAAATAACAGGGTTTGGTTAGAACTATTTATGTTTGCTGTGCATTTGTTTCCTTGTACATTTAAAACTAGTGTTTATACAGTACATAATATGTGTCTGATTATTTTGACAATAGTAATGTACTTGTTACAAGATATAGGAACCACCCCAAGACACTCTGTACTTCTAAGGTGGTATGTTTGGTGCTGAGATAGAATAGGGAATTGGAATTATTTTATATACTTTAGAGATAAAATATACTGATATATCCAAAGTCTTTACTATTACTGTTAAAATTATTGCTGTGACAACTATTATTATATTACTGCACTCTTTTCTGAACTTACAGAGAAGAAGAAAAAGGGAAGGGAGAAGTGAATCAAAAGAGAAATAGGAAATTGAAGAGATGCAAACAAGTGAAAGAGTGAAATCAGAAATATATTGTGAATTAGATATATAGAAGAGTCAACCTTTGTGTGTTTATTTAGCAATGAATTATAGATGGGAATGTGTATTTCAGTGCCCCATGTTTTATTAACTTGGTGGAAAATGTCTCAATTAAAGACAAGCTCCCTGGCATTTGGCACAGGATAATTTTGCAATTCCAGAAAAAGATGCAGTTACTTTAAAGAGTCATTGACAGGTACTAACGCTGCCCTCTAGTGAGCTCCTTGGCTGAAGTTTCATTGAATCAAAGCATCCTTTGAATATCCTCCTAGTGCCTTTCTTCCATCCATAACAAGAAATATCATTTATATCCAAAGCATTAATCTTGACAGGAGTTGTCTGTGGCTATGAGCATATTAGCTATTTAAGTTTTATGCATTAGTTGCAACATTTTTTTAAAAAAACTTGGATTTTTTTTCTCTTCAAGTTTGACACTCAAGAAGATGAGAAGCTTCTTCAAGCAGCTGAAAGATACAAAGCTGAATGTGCCTTGAAATTTCCAGATCGCCAGTGCCTGACCACTGTAATTGACATCAGTGGAAAAACACTCTTTGTTACGAGATTCATCAGAGCACTCAACCCCCCAGAAGAGCTCCTACAAGTCCATCCAGACAGTCCACAGCAAACCTCGGTGCGTATTTTTATTCTCTGAGGAACTTACATCTGTAACATGCAAAGCAAGATTTAATTCTTTGCTTCAATAAAACAGAATGTTTGTAGCTCAGGGTTGAAATGAGGGGTCTTTGCTGCTCTCTGAGCTTGGTTATTTTCTTGCAGACATTTCATTTCCTAAACTAGGTAACGTCATCAGTGCTGGTGTTATTTAGTTTGGGTAGTGTTATTTTAGTTTTGTTTTGCTCACTTTAAATCTCAACGGGTCTGCTTCATGGATTTCTGAGAAGTGAACCAGTCAGCCCAAGGACATTGACCTGACTTGGTGCACTCAAACTGAATTATTTTGGACCAATCTGGAAGATCTAGCCTGATCTAGCCTGCAACAAGCCCAGGAGAAACCAAAAGAGACCCACCATTTCTAAAGAGAGTCAGTCTTGTGGGCAGCTTTGGCCTCAGGCTAATGAGAGGATTTTTGCTTTCTCTTCTCTGTACATAGGAATTAATTGCCCGATATGTAGCCCTGATTCCTTTCTTACCCAATAAGGTATCGTTTGCTGGAATTTGTGATCTATGGAGTACTTCTGATGTAAGTTAAAAGCTTCAAATGTCTAGAACTCTGTGTTTTATCATCAAAAGAAGTTATTTTGTAATCATTTATGCCAAAACAATAGGGGTATGTGTGGAATAATTAAAGTTGCTGTGGGTTGTGATGTTTGTTGGCATTAACAGTGTTATGCTCTTTTGCATTGGTATACATGCATCAACTTTGGGGAGAGTGGAAAATTTGAATTGCTGCATATGACCTTTTAGGATAAATAGACATTGAAATCTCATCAAAGGCTTTGTTGAGGCAGGCACCATCTGCTTTCAATTTTAGTGATCCAGTTTGGTCTACAATTCTGTAATTAACCTTCCTTTAATCATGCTGCAGTAAGCTAATTTTTTGTATAAAAGGATGTTATGCATTTGTGAAGAATATTTATTTTCTGATTGTGTAGTTCTAAGTTGAACCACTTTAAATGAAAATAAGATATAGCTGTTTCCATTACACAGCTGGAGTAGTTGCACTTTATAGCTGCCCTTTCACTTTAAGTGAAATTTAAATTAAGCCAAAATATTCAGTGATAGAAAATAGACCTTAACAGCACCATTTGTTTGCTCACATTTCTTAGCAGTTCCTTGATCTTTTGGCTGGAAACGAAGAAGAACATGCTGTGCTATTGTGTAATTATTTTCTTGCTCTTGGCAAAAAGGCCTGGCTTCTAATTGGGAATGCTGTTCCAGAGGTAAGGCATTTGTGCTTAGCAGTTCAATAAAACTTCCTTGCATGAGAAAATATGCTGCCTCACTACTCCATGGTCCATACTGATTTTAGAAGCAGACAGAAACCCTGGTTCAGAGGTTATCCCCCTGTACAGTGAGCAGGTTGTCCCAGAGTTTCCAAAATAAATTTTTCTTTTTATGCTGCTGGACTGGATTATTGGATTTCTATTATATTCTTCCATTGGCTCATTAGAGTGGTTCAGTTATTGGACACTGAAATGCCTGGATTTATCACCTGAAAGAGCCTGTCCTCTCTTCTCCACTTTAGCTAATTCAGAATTTGTGTCTTAAGCACTAATAGACAAATAGTAGAAGGGGAAAGGGAGAATTGTAAATTGTAAATAACTTTATTTTTCCCAACAGGGATCAACAGCTTATGTGCTAACTTGGGAACAAAACCAGTATGTGATTTGGAATCCAAGCCGTGGGCATTTTTATGGACAATATGATGCTTTCTGTCCATTGAAAAGGGTCAGCTGTTTGATTTCTGCAGACAATGTAAGTGAACCACCCCTAGCTGCCCTACCAGCACAGCTGAGCCGTTCCTGTCAGCTACATGGGCTCACTGCTAGATAGTTTGCCTGCACATAGGTTACTTTTCCTCTTGCACCCGGAGATGTGCTCTGTAGCTGAGGACACCTGGAATTTAATCCATATGCCAAAGATGTTATCTGGATCTTGCCAAGCAGGTTCTTGACAAATACCTTGTGCATCTAGTGCATGATGAGCTTGTCAGCCTGGCTCCAACTGGCATAAGTTTTATTTGCAGTCATATGAAGAGTAAGTGCCTTCTTTCTTTCATCAACTGGAAAGTTGGTGCCAATTCTCTTCCAAGTGAGTCAGTTGAAAGCAGAAGCAAGGGCTGTGGTTGCTTTCTGTTCGAGAGCCAGAATTAACTCAGCAGCTGTGCAAAATGAGGGCAAGCGGCATCATGACTTGTGCAAATCAACAGGCACAAGCAAATTTCATTTTTTCATGATTTTCTGGAGATACAATGTACTTACCAGACTTTTTTTATGGTGGCAAGGCAAAGTGTGGGTAGTACCATGTTTCCCTGAAAATAAAACCTAGTATTATGTTCTTTTGGGCTGGAAAATAAACACTTGGGCTTATTTTTTTGGGGGGGGTCTTTTTTTTTTAAGTGCAGGAGGCAGCAAGCGTGGGGGGCCCTGGCAGTGGGAGCACCTGCCCTCTCTGTCCCACTGTCTGCTTGCCCACGACTGCAATAGGCCAAGCTCAGCATGCCCTGGGCTCCACCAACCCTGCCTGCTGGCTCTTCGCCTTCCTAGCATGACGGGTGGAGGCTGGGACATGTTGAGAGCTTGGCCCCAATTGAGGCTGCAGACAAACCGACAGTGGGATGGAGAGGGCAGGGCCGATGGTAGCTGCCCAAACACACTTCGCCCAGAAGGAGACGAAGGTTCACGTGGTTGCAAAGGGGATGCTTTGAAAGGGAGCAAATCACTCTGTCCCCAAATACCTGATAGGCGACCAAACACTTTCGCCTGGACAGAGAAACGATGGAGTCTCAAAGCTTCGTGTGCTTGCAAATAGGGTGATTAGCTCTGTTCAAAGCATCCTGTTTGGAAGCACACGAAGCTTTGTCTCCCTGTGATCAAAAAGTGCTCAGCAGAACTAAGTAGAGTCAGATGATCCCAAATGCGCTGCCCACTCTGTTCCACCATCTCTTGACTTGCCTGCTCATGCACCCGGTGGGGCGTCAGGATAGCCTGCTTCTCCCATCCCCCGTGCCAGTGCCACCACACAAGCCTCCCACAAGCCTCCTGTGAGTCAGGCAGCCACTCAGCACATCCGGATCGCCTGTCTTCTCCCCCTGCCTCTGCCTTCACACTTGGAATTAAGGGTATTTGTGCCGTACCAAGATGCCAGCAGGCTGCGGCTACTGCCAAACACCATCAGCCCCCGTGCACTCGCCACGTCTTGTGTTGGCCATGCCTATTCCCTGAGCTTATTTTCAGGGTAAGGATTATAATAGGCCCACCCACCCACCCAAAAAAATCAGGCTAGGGCTTATTTTTGGAGTGGGTCTTTTTTGTTTTCTGGGGAAACTACAGTATGTTCAAGCTTGGATCTGGAGAGCTTCCAAATGTCTGTTGATTTCAATTGAATTTCTTCCCCCTTATTGGCCACATCCTGCCATTGTGTCAGAGGTTCAAATTAAAGTCAGAAGGAACAAGACAGTGTTTAAACAGACCCGCCATATCACCCCTATCTGGGTGAAAGTAAGCTTTGTGGATTTACTCCAGATCAATTAGTCCTGAATTACTACTGCATAAAAGAGATAACACTTAAATAATTTTTTCCCCTCTTAGGTTTGGTTTAATATTCAACAGGATGATTCCCCACCAAGAATAAATTTTGATGTCAATAAAACCAAATATTGGAAACCTTTCTTTTCTAGAAGTTTACCATTCTCTGGTCTCTCCAGTGTTCAGGTAAAAGGAACTTTTGGTCTCATGTTATTAAAACTATTGAGAAATGTCCTCTTCTCTTTTCTTACAAGTTCAGATTAAGATAGTTTATTAGGAGGAGGGGATCTTCCTCTTAATAGCAATTCTGTAAAGTGGATTGGAATGAGATCTCCTTCAACCTTGCACAGTCCTCTCTCTATATATTATAGCACGGACATAACAATTTCCACTGTACAGGTAGTCCTTGTTTACTGACTGTTCTAAAATGCAGCAGTCCACTTTATGATCATATCACTTAGCAACAGAGTTGCTGGTTCCAATTGTGATCCATAAGCAAAGTCTACCTATATCTGAAATGGCTGAAAGGGGATAATATAAATAAATTGTTTTAGTATTTTAGTAAATAGTATTTGCTTTGCTGATTATTTGTGTTGTTTGCAATGCTATGTGCAAGGATGGAATGTCAGAGTTTAGCTGCAGAGTTATTACATCAAGTGATTAAGTATAGTATAAGTATAGTAGTATATGAGACTCTAGGCTCTGCGGTTTTCTTGGCAACATTTTGGGAAGTAATGCCTTCTTGCCTTCTTCCGAGGGCTGAGAGTTTTAACCACTAGACCAAACTGGTTCCAAATCTTTTTAATTGATTCCTATCCCCACCCATCTTCAGTAAATAAAATCATACATTGGTATATAAAATCATACATTGCAATGTCCTACCTGTCAATGAATACTTCAGCTTCAACCATAACAACACAAGAGCACACAATAGATACAAACTCAAAGTTAACCGCACCAAACTTGATTGCAGGAAATACGACTTCAGCAATAGAGTGGTCAATGTCTGGAATACCCTACCCGACTCTGTAGTTTCTTCCCCAAACCCCAAAAACTTTAACCTTAGACTGTCTACTATTGACCTCACCCCTGGTGCATAAGCGCACCAACGTGCCTACCGTCCCTGTCCTATTGTTTCTCTTATTCTTCTTTTATTTTTCTTATATGTACCCATTTCATGTATTCACAACTATGTATACACTTATACTTATTATCTTGTAAACAATTGGCAAATCAAATAAATAAAATAAATAATAAATAAATAAATACCTTTTCCTCATTTGATCCATTCATTCTATACCTTGGTGCCCTCTAGTTTTGTTACTATGGTCAAAGTCAATCTTGACTCCTGGTGACTATGTAGTGAGGTTGCTTCCGTTTTCTTGATAGCCTATCTTGGAAGCAGTTTGCCCTTGGCTACTTCCTCCTAGGTCATCCAGTTAGCTTTGTGCTTGACTTGGGACCACAAAATTTCCCAGGATCTAGCTTGGTGCCTTTAACCAATTACACCAAATTGGCTGTCTAAGTAGTGGTTTAGATATATTTAATTTAAAAATTGCACACGACAAAAGTGTTCTTTCTGCAACAGAGGTGTCAATTTAATCTACAAAAGCACATTTTAACATGTAAAAATAAATATATAAATAAATAAAAACTAGAGCTGCCCATCATAAAGATATGTAGGTTTAATCCTTTTCTGAATATAGTGAATGGTTTCTGGTTTTTTTTACTAATTAACTGGTTAGGTTGCACTGTGGAAGACAAGAACCTTATCACAAATGAAAGCCAGTTTGGTCTGGTGGTTCATGTGGAAGTGAGAAAAGTTGAATTCTAGTCGTGCCTCAGGCACAAAACCAGCTGGCTGACCCTAAATTCCCAGAATTAGGAAACAGGCAAGGGCAAATTAATTCAGGATATCTCTTCTTGCCTTGTCTTCTGGTGTTTTTGAAAATAATTGACTCCCTCTTGTTTGTAGCAGTCTCTCAAATATTGGAGCACAGCTATCATGTCACCCATAGTCTTTCTTTTCACTGAACTAGACATACCCAATTTCTGCAACCACTCTTCAGTGTTTTAGCCTCCAGCCCCAATCATCTTGGTTGCTCTTCTTGGCACACTTTCAACATCTTTTTTATATTGTGATAAATAAAACTGGAAGCAGTATTCCAAGTGTGGTCTTACCAAGGCCTTATAAAATGATACTAAAACTTCACATGATCTTGAGTCTATCCCTCTATTAATGCAGCATAGGATTGCATTGACTTTTTTGTTGGCTGCAGCACACAGCTAGCTCATAATTAAGATATATTTAATATTGGTTGCTTTATGCAAATATGTAAATATTTATTAAATATTATTTAATGTATTCAATGTTATATAAATATGTATTAAATATTTGTGTAATATATATTAAATATATGTGTAAATATGTATTAAATTTTTAATACATATTTAAGATATATTTTTAAAAAATCAACTCCAGTTCTTACCAGGTACTGAAAAGATTTTTAATCAGAATAATGTGCCTATGCCACCACCACCTTTCACTTCCCAAACTGGAAAAAAGTTGTTTGTGCCTCATATTACACAGGTGAAAGAGAAACAGTTTGAAGCTAAACATATAATTTGATTATCCTGTATAAATTGTATAAATGATATTCACTTAGTCAAAATGATTTTAATGTAATTTTTCTTATGCCATATTAATCACTTCAGATCTTGAAAGAATAAAAGTACTGATTAATTTAAAGTACTATAATATTGAAGTGAATTTCATAAATACCAAATTACTTCTCTTTCTGATTTCATTAGCCTGAAGAACTCTTCTACCAAAATGCAGACAAATCTGTTGCGCTACATTTACAGAACAGGTAATTTTGCATTAATCATAATATTCAAGGGCTGAAAGTTAATGCTGCCAATGTTTTAAATTACCAACAGATGGCAGTACTGATGTGCAGGAAGCTGCAATATGTTCTTTAGCATCTGTTCTTTCACTTGACTTGATGGGAGATTGCTGTGAGAAAAGGAAATATAGGTATGGTTGAGTTTTTGATTGCTGAAGGATCCTTTCCAATTGAAAATCACTTCCAAATGCAGGTTGTATATGGTGTCACTGGGCCAAAAAATATAAAGGTAGTAAACCAGAATTGATATGTGTGATCAAGCACAAAGTAGTTGACCTGTGACAACCAATATACTTTATGTGAAAAGAGTTCAAGAACTGATAAAGGACAATTGGCAGATCAAAGGGAAATTGCTGTCAAGCTTGATTTTCGAAGAAATGTGAATATCAGAAGGGTTGTGCAGAATGAGTCCCTTACATGGCAGGAAAGAAGTTTCCAAGAATTGAAATTTACAGCAGTTGTCACACTGCAAGAATGAAGGTGAGGAATTTCTTTGCAGCACTTCAGCAGTTTATGCCAGGGGTGTCAAACTCAAGGCCCACGGTCCACATCTGGCCTGTGCTGTAGTCAGATTCTGCCCATGGGGCCGTACTGGTCTACCCAATGTGAAGAGGAAAGATCGGTCCAGTCTACCCAACACAAAGAAAGATCAGGCCAGTGTAGCTTTGGCCTGGTCTACCCAGTGCAAAGAGGAAAGATAGGACCAGTGTGGTGTCAGCCCAGTCTACCCAGTGCAAAAAGGAAACATGCCAGCAGTTTGGGGAGTGGCTTCAAGCTGGCCACACTCCCCCCCCCCCCCGAGGTCAATCACAGCCCTGATGCGGTACTCAATGAAATTGAGTTTGACACCCTTGGTTTATGTAATATGAACCCATTGTTATGACCCAGAAAGTACTATTGGTCCATGCAATATCACCCCAAAGAGAGGTGAAAAATGTTAACACCCAGGCTAAGCAGGAAAACTCATAGCTATAATTTCTTGGGACATAGATGGTATTATTTTCTTGAACTTGACAGCACTGTCAGCTCAGAGCACTATTGTCAGGTCTGCCATCTTCAGCTTCTTCACTTTGCTGGCATCCTGCCATAAATCACGAGAGGTGAAGGAATTTAGAGAAGTAATGTTTAGGCATGGAAAAGTGAAGACAAATTGGGGGGGGGGGGGGAGAGAAGCTGACGAGAACCAGAGGTGTCAAACTGGAATAAGCCAGCTGCCATGGATTCCTGGCCTGGGAACAGAATGCAAAACTACAATGGAGAGGCATCAAGCATAAAAGTGGCTCCCAAAACATCAAAAATAAATACTATTGGACACTGGTGAACTGATCAAGGGGGCAGGGCCAGGGAAAGGGGAAGAGTGTAACCCTTGTGCGGGAATATTCAGATCTAGCTTTGCTTTTGCTGCAACTCCTTATCACAGGGGTGCCTAACTTCATAGAGGGCCGCATCTAACTTCATTGAGGGCCGCATCAAGGTTGTGTTTGACCATTTTCATTGGAAGAGGCACCACGGGCCAATCCGCTGTTTCCAGGGCAGCCCCGTAAGCCAAATCTAAGCGTAACGTATGAGCCTCGGTGGTGCAGTGGTTAGAGTGCGTACTGCAAGCTACTCCTACTGCAGTCTGGCAGATCAAATCCCACCAGGCTCAAGGTTGATTCAGCCTTCCATCTTTCCGAGGTGGGTAAAATGAGGACCCAAACAGTTGGGGGCAATAGGCTGACTCTGTAAACTGCTTTGAGAGGGCTGTAAAGCACTATAAAGCAGTATATAAATCTAAGTGCTATTGCTATTGCTATCCCGAGGGCCTTGAGTTTGATACCCCTGGCTTATCACATCACCCACATGAAGTCAAGGGTTTTCTTTCCTAAATGTCTAAGTTGGGGCAGGTCTGACATAATGCTAGATCTGTAATAACAGTCAACCTGGAGACATATCTCTACTATGGGGACCATGCACAAAATGTTGGCACAAGAGAATGATCAGGAAGAGATGGAAGCTTGGTGGGAGACCACATCGAAATCCCTAAGCAGAGGAGACCACCCCAAGTGGCCAGGAGAGGCAGAGGGCTGCAACAACCAGTCGAAATCCTGATGGTCGCTGGCAGTCAGAAGGGCGATTAGGAGGAGAGACCTTCTAGAGCACGGGTGTCAAACTTGCAGCATCACGTTGCCATCACATGATGTATCAAAAAATTTTCCCTTCGTGGAGCTGGGATGTGCATGGCCTGTGTGTGACATACCCTCGGGTTGTGATTTTGACACCCCTGCTCTTGATACCTTCACTCGGGGGACCAGAGGAAGTTGCCAGAGGAAATCCCACATCAAAGATGCGGACAAAGTGGCATGAGGCAAACCAGATGATGGCAGCATGCTCATTGAACAGGCTACAGAATTCCTGAAGGGCACCTTCAACAACCTCCAAGCACATGAAGATCTAGCTCAGTTGGCACCACCAGCACCTGAACCAGGGCAGGGGGACAGGCAGACGATGGTATGGGTACACTCACCACTATGGTCGCTATGGTGTCTGCTCCCTGACACCAGCTCCAGCAAAGCAGCTGGCACCATCTCCGATGGCCCAGCCACCTCCATGGGCCTGGGCCACCCCACCAAGGAGAAGACAGCGCAGACTACGAGCTTTGGGGTGAGATTCAGCAGAGACCTAAAGCATTTGATGTTCTTAACCCAAGTGTGAACCTACATGCAGGAGCTGCACAACTTCAATCAGTTAAGGGTAGCCCTCCGGAAGAGATTTCAAGACCCCTTCACTGATTGGAAGGCCAGGACAAGAATTAAGATAAACCAAGGTCGGCAATACATTGCTGCCTACACCCAATAAATCTGCAGCTTGGCATGCAGATTAGTTGATTGATCACAAGATACACTGATAGAATCTTTCCAAGACAGGCTGAATGATGTCTATAATACTTGCATCTTCAGAAGTATCCCGCACACCCTTCATATGTGGTATGTTGTAGCCAAAGAAATTGAAATCAACCTAGCCCGATCCCGCAATTGTCCCAACCGCAAATGGCAGAGGTCCCTCCCGGCAGAGAAGAGAGAACCCCCAAAACCAGGGGGGCAGGATCAAAGCCCACTCCACCACTCCACTGGATGTTTCAAATGCAGAAAAGAGCAGCCGATTGCTGAGCATCACACCCAGTGCAAAAGGCCACTTCTGGATCCACAAAGAAAATGGGAAAAAGCAACTCCAATGACTCGGGAGACAGCCCTAGGAGTGGAGGTTGTTGAGTTCACTCCATCACCTGGTGATGTTACAAGAACTCTGACAGCATCTACCAGGAACCCAGCATGGAGCAACACCGACATAGATGATGACCCCTTGGTAAGTCACTCCATGATATCCATGATGATCCTAATAGAACTGATTGTGCCTTCTTCAGAGTGTAAGGAGAACCTGGTTGCCCTCCTAGACTTGGGCTGTACCAGATGCCTGGTCAACCTGGCTTAGTCAAGAAACTAGGTCTGCGACTAAAGGAACATAAAATACCCATGGCTTTCTGCCAGTTGGATGGTTAGTAGCAGGAGGGCCCCCCATGACATTTGTCACTGAACTGATAGAGATGAGGATGGGACCCCAGGAAGAAACCCTAAGCTTTATTGTGCATCATACATGGAGAGACCCATTGTATTGGGACTAGCGTGGCTCCTCCTATGTAAATTGGAGGAAGAGGAGGAGGATATTAAAGATTCATGAAAGGCATCTGAGGAAAACTGGCCAAACTCAGACTCGGTATCAGCATCAGAATCAGAATAGAGCTAGAAGTCCAGCCCCCTGCTCAAGCAGGAGACCCTATACCATTTTAGACAAGTGACTATTCCATAAAGTAAAAACCCACAATATCTGAAGGGAAGCTGTTCCACTGGTTAATTGTCCTGTTACGAAGTTGCTCCTCACACCAATAGGCAGGAATGCAAAGAGGGAAATTGGGGCTAAACATGGGAGTGCCCCAAAAGAGATCCCCAAACCCTCAACAAGTATTGGAAGTTACGAGATGTTTTCAGTGAGCCCCACAGACTGTTCCATAGAGATATTGCCAAGGGCCACACTACCCAAGCTGAAATTGTATTCCATGAATCCCAAGAGAGCTCAAGGAGCCCCAGGCATTCATAGATAAAAACTTGCAACAAGGGTTCAGCCAGCCAGCCCTGGTACTATTCCAGGAAAAGAAAGATGGGGCCCTCCACCTGTGCATGGATTATCATGGGATAAATGCAATCTGCATTCAGAACATTTATCCCCTATCCTTAATGAAAGACATGTTGGCCCACTTGGCAAAAGCAAAAATCTTTACTAACTGGACTTGCAGGTGGTGTACTACCGCATAAGATCAAAAGGGGGGATGAATGGAAAACTGCATTTTACTGTCCTTCAGGGAGCTTTCAATTCCGAGTATTTCCCTTTGGACTTCTAGGATGGGCTCCGCCCCACACCAGAAAAGAACTACAAAACTTTTCCTGGGATTCACAAATTTGTTAACACCTGTTGTGGCTCACAGAGCTGGCAGCAGGTTTGGACAGTGAGGAGGTTGGGGAGGAACATGTGGCAGTCCTGGAGTCTGGGGAAGGCTCTGACGAGTGCTCTGCATCGGAGGCAGAGATGGGGCCAGGGCCATCTGACAGTTATCAGCTGCCTTCGGAGTCAGACATCAGTGAGGCAGAAGAACAGCTGGAGCCTGTTCCCAGTGCGCGCATGCACAGAGCTGCCAGAAGAAGGAAACAACTAAGGAACAAGAGTCGACATGGGAGTAAAGCCATAGGCGGACGGTGAATGGCCCCTCACAGAGGGAATAAAAGAGGGGCGAAAGGGGAGTGGGGTTTTGCAGGAGACAATTAGTTCATTTGTTCCTGAATTTTTGCCCAGTATTGTCTGCTACAGTGTGGCATCTGAATGATATCGGCCTGGGAACTCTCCAAGCCTGATAAAGGTCTGTAATTGTAAAA